CGACTCTGGTGCTCGATGCGTCCTGCCCTCTCCTAGACCTTTCCTAGACCTTTCCTGGAACCTTTCCTGGGACCTTTCCTGGAGCCTTCGCGTAGGTGCTCGACGCGTCCGCCCTCGTCGCCGCCGGTCTCCCGGCCGCCTCCGCCGACGCGTTTTGGCCGACCCTCGGCTACGCCTGCGGCAACCTCGCGCAGACCCGTGTGCCGGCCCTCACCGGCATCGCCCACCTCCGCCCGACCCGCGACGAGCTCAAGGCCTTCGCGGCGGCCTTCGGCACCTCCGGCGCCGCCGCCCTCTTCCACATCGTCGGAGTGACGCCGGAGGCGGCCGACTTGCAGACTGCCCTCGGAGCGGCCGGCAGCGGGGAGGGCGTCGAGACGCTGAGGCTGTCGCCGGAGCACTTTGCATCCGCGTGGTTGGCCTCTCGACCGCGGTGAAGAATGGCCCGCGAGGCTGTGAATCATCGAGCCTGAGAGCTGTGAACAGGCGGACCCTTGACAGCGGGGCGCTTTCCAGTGGCGGGCACGACGACGGTGGTAATTGCGGTGACGGAGGCGGCGGCGGCGGCGGCGGCGGCAGCGGCGGCGGCGACTGCAGCGGCGTCGACCTCGTCGCTCTTGGCAACCCGCACCTTTCCTTCTCCGAGGTGGAGTCGCTGGCAGCAATGGTCGGCGGCGGCGGCGGCGGCGGCGGGCTCGTCGGCGGCGGCGGCGTCGGCGGCGCCACCCGGCGCCTCTGCGGCCTCGTCCGTTGGCTCAGGCGACAGCAGCGCCTCGGAGGAGTCTGCGGCGGCGGCGGCGACGCCTCCGTCGCCTCCGAGGCCTCGCCCCGCCTGTTAATTCGTTAATTCGGTAATTAATTCGTGAATTCCCTCCGTCGCCTCCGAGGCCTCAACTAAGTAGTTACCTCGAGCAGCATCTGCATCTGGGCGGGCGAGAGACCGAGCTGGGTCGCCGGCCGGTCGTCGGCGGCAATGGGGCGCTCGAAGAGAGAAGCCGGCGGGCCTAATTAATTGAGTAGTTGTTTATTAACTGTTTAATTAGGCGATCAAAGAGGGAAGCCGGCGTGCCGGAGATGTCGAGGCCGAGCGAGACGGTGGCGCCGTGTCGCGCCTGGCAGAGGTCGCTGCGTAGTTCGTTGAGGAGTTAGGACTCGAGAGGCGGTGGCGCCGTGCAGAGGTAGCTGCCCAGGTACGGGCCGAGATACGGGGGAGATATGGGGGAGATATGGGGGGGGAGATGGGCGCGCGCCTGGCAGAGGTAGCTGCCCAGGTACGGCCCGATCTGCGAGAGGACAACCTAATTAAATAAATAATAAGTATTTAATTTATGATTTATTTAATTCGCCCGATCTGCGAGAGGAGAACCTTCTTGATGATGCGCTCGATGACGGCAGAGACGACAAGCCGGACCTATGGGGGAGATATGGGGAGCTGTAGGGAGATATGGGGAGATATGGGCAGAGACGACAAGCCGGACCGGGCTCATGTCGCTGGGGCCGAGGTTGGTCCTGCACTCGAGGAGGTGGATGCCGAACCCGCGCTCGAACTTCCACTTGCGCCGCTTGGCCTAAGTAAGTAATAATTGGCCTTGTAGACGAGCGGTATCTTATTATTTATTAACTATTATTATTAACTATTATTACTAACTATTATGATTAACTATTATTTATTTGCGCCGCTTCGCCTTGTAGACGAGCGGTATCTTATTATTTATTTGAACTATTATTTATTTAACTATTATTATTAAATGATTAACTGTTATTTATTTGCGCCGCTTCGCCTTGTAGACGAGCGGGATCTTATTATTTATTTAACTCTTATTATGCCGCTTCGCCTTGTAGACGAGCGGGATCTCATTCTTTATTAACTATTATTATTAACTGATCAACTGTTATTTATTTGCGCCGCTTCGCCTTGTAGACGAGCGGGATCTTATTCTAATTTAACTATTACTCTTAAATGATTAACTGTTATTTATTTGCGCCGCTTCGCCTTGTAGACGAGCGGGATCTTATTCTTTATTTAACTATTATTAAATGATTAACTGTTATTTATTTGCGCCGCTTCGCCTTGTAGACGAGCGGGATCTTATTATTTATTTAACTCTTATTATGCCGCTTCGCCTTGTAGACGAGCGGGATCTCATTCTTTATTAACTATTATTATTAACTGATCAACTGTTATTTATTTGCGCCGCTTCGCCTTGTAGACGAGCGGGATCTTATTCTAATTTAACTGATTAACTGTTATTTATTTGCGCCGCTTCGCCTTGTAGACGAGCGGGATCTTATTCTTTATTTTAACTCATTATTAAATGATTAACTGTTATTTATTTGCGCCGCCTCGCCTTGTAGACGAGCGGGATCTTATTCTTTATTAACTATTATTATTAAATGATTAACTGTTATTTATTTGCGCCGCCTCGCCTTGTAGACGAGCGGGATCTTATTATTTATTAACTCTTATTATTAAATGATTAACTGTCATTTATTTGCGCCGCTTGGCCTTGTAGACGAGCGGGATCTCATTATTTATTAACTCTTATTATTAAATGATTAACTGTCATTTATTTGCGCCGCCTCGCCTTGCAGACGAGCGGGATCTTATTATTTATTTAACTATTATTATTAAATGATTAACTGTCATTTATTTGCGCCGCTTGGCCTTGTAGACGAGCGGGATCTTATTCTATATTAACTCTTATTATTAACTATTATGATTAACTGTCATTTATTTGCGCCGCTTCGCCTTGTAGACGAGCGGGATCTTATTATTTATTTAACTCTTATTTATTTAACTCTTATTATTAAATGAGTAACTGTCATTTATTTGCGCCGCTTCGCCTTGTAGACGAGCGGTATCTCCGCCACGAAGCGCGCGGCCACAGCGAGCCGCCCGAAGCCGATCGTTGGCGAGAACTCGGCGCCGAGCACCTTCGGTGCAGGTGCGGGGAGATGCGGGGAGAGACGGGGGAGAGATGGGGGAGAGATGGGGGAGAGATGGGGGAGATACGGGGAGATACGGGGAGATACGGGGAGATATAGGGGAGAGAGGGCACCTCGGTGCGGTTGACGAGCGACACGCCGCGCGCCACAAACTGGAGCAGCCCGCCCGCCGCCTCGTCTGCGCCGGCGGCGGCGTCGCCGTGCCACCGGATCGTGATCTTTGGGTACTGCGTGCGGCCGCCCTTGGAGGCGCGGGAGGAGGTGGAGGCGGAGGCGACGTGCAGCTCTACTCCGCCGGCGAGTTGCTCGAGGTGCAGGTCCTAGACGAGATGCGGGGAGATCGGGGGAGATCGGGGGAGACCGACGCGAGCTGCTCGAGGTGCGCGTCCTTGAAGCCGATGTACATGTCGCGGACGGAGAAGCGGAGGCGGTACCCCTCGCTGGCGGGGAAGTAGTGTGCGCGCCGGCACTCGTTCAGCTCGCCTAGTTAGAGGATGAAGTCATTCATTCACTCATTCCTCAATGAACTCGCGCCGGCACTCGTCCAGCTCGCCTACTCACAGCGGTGGGTGTGAAGAGACGCTGTTCACACCTCTCTGCGCCGGCACTCGTTCAGCCCGCCTGCTCACGGCGGTGGGTGTGAAGAGACGCTGTTCACACCTCTCTGCGCCGGCACTCGTCCAGCTCGCCTATTCACAGCGGTGGGTGTGAAGAGACGCTGTTCACACCTCTCTGCGCCGGCACTCGTCCAGCTCTCCCTGTGTCGAAGCAAGCTTGTCCTCGAGCATCCCCAGCTTCACCTCAATGTCGGCCGCGTCACCTGCCGACGAAGAGCTCGACGCGTCCGTGCCCGTGCCACCTGTTCACGGCTGCAGGTGTGAAGAGACGCTGTTCACAGGAGCTCGACGCGTCCGTGCCCGTGCCACCTGTTCACGGCTGCAGGTGTGAAGAGACGCTGTTCACACGAGCTCGACGCGTCCGTGCCCGTGCCACCTGTTCACGGCTGCAGGTGTGAAGAGACGCTGTTCACAGGAGCTCGACGCGTCCGTGCCCGTGCCACCTGTTCACGGCTGCAGGTGTGAAGAGACGCTGTTCACACGAGCTCGACGCGTCCGTGCCCGTGCCACCTGTTCACGGCTGCAGGTGTGAAGAGACGCTGTTCACACGAGCTCGACGCGTCCGTGCCCGTGCCACCTGTTCACGGCTGCAGGTGTGAAGAGACGCTGTTCACAGGAGCTCGACGCGTCCGTGCCCGTGCCACTGCCCTCCACCAACGGCGGCAGCGGCGCCCTGTCTGGCCGCGGCGGCCGCAGAAACGACATCGTGCCCGCGAGGCCGCCGCCTGGCGAGTCGCTGCGCCAGCCGGGGCTGGCCTCGCGCGGCTCTGCGCGCTCGAGCGCCTAATTCATAATCACACCGAAGTTAACGATTAACCCTGCGCCGAATAATTAATTCGGCTCCGCGCGCTCGACGGCCTTCTCCTGCGCCTTGACCTCGCGCTCGAGCAGCCCCACCGTCTGCTCCATCGCGCCCATCTGCAGCTTGAGCGCCTCCGCCTCCACCTTCCACTTTGCCTTTGCGTCCGAGAGCAGCGCCTTCTCGCGCGCGACGAGGGCGCACCAGGTCGGCGCGGCGGTACGCAGCCGCGCCTCCGCCTCGAGCGCCGCGGGCACGCCGAGGAAGGCGAGCAGCGCGACCGGCAGGCAGCCCGCCGTCGCGCGCGACGTCTCCTCGCACGCCTTTTCGAGGTACGCCTGCAGCTTCTTCTCGCGCTCGCGCTTGACGGAGGCGCCGGCAAAGAAGGCGCGCGAGATGGGGAATGCGTCGGCCACGGCCGGCGTCGCGAGGCTCAGCGTCGCGTGCAGCTGCCGGAACTCGGAGAATCGCTTGGACGACCGCACCGGCTGCGCCGGCTCAGAGGCGGGAGCGGCGGACGGCAGCGTCGTCTCGATGTGGTAGACGGTGTGGCCGTCGAGCTCGCCGTGCCCCGTCACGCGTGGCGCAACCACAGTGGGGACGGATGGGGCGGCAGAGGGAGAGAGGGAGAATGTCGCCATGCGGATGCAATGAGTTGGAGATGGCGGCCGGGCGCCGCCGACCCGACGGAATTCCCTTGAGGACTGCGCCCGGGCGAAATAAAGAATTTCCCCCCTCGCAGGTACGCGACAGGAATGATTCGACACAACCAACGGCGGGCACGTCTCGAGATCATGGTGCGCGCGCTCGCCCCACCCGTGCCCACGGCGGCCCGCGCGTGCGCGCGCGCGGTAGTAGGAGTAGGCTGCGGGTCGTATCACGCCGGTGGTGCACCACCGGTTGCTGATCCTCGGGAGCAACGAACCGAGCAGCCACACAATGAGCGCCAAACAGCAACACATTCAGCGACCAGGGGAGCACCAGCCGAGGTGCTGCCCGCCGAGGCCCGAGCACGCGAGGATGTGCTGCATGCAACATGTCTCTCGGCTGGCTATCTCGGTGTCCTTCTTCATATAGATATCCAAAACCGCGCGTCACATTCCCCTCGAGGGGAACGGGGTTGTGCGTTTATGTGAACAGCGTCTGACTGTCACTGTGGCAGCCAGCTGGCTGTGTGTCTTGTGAGCTTGTTTGTGTCTGTGTGTTGTTCGTGCGTGTCGTCATCATCTGTCCCGCGTCCACCCATACCGCGTTGGTGTCCAGTCCGAGCCTGACTGTTGTTCATCTTTCTACATACATACATCACTGTGCTATTTCGGGGCCCGGAGTTGTGCGTTTATGTGAACAGCGCAAAGCGCGAAATCACGTATTTTCTTGTCAATAACAAGGTCTGTGAATCTCTCACACCCTCACTGTCGTCGTATGCGAGTTTCTTGTTTCTTTCCCCATATTTAAGAGGTCCAACTGACGTCCCCCTTTCCCATAAGCAACAGAGATGTTCCCCATATTCCCCCTTCCTGGACAACCACACACAAGGTCCAACCCTCGCCTTTCCCGTTCCGCTCGCGCTGGCCCCGCCGCGTCGACGCACATATGGCCGCGGGGAGCTGCACGCCCGAGCGGCGCGACGCCTCCTGCTCACGCAACCCGCCGCTCCCTCTCCGCTCCCACCATGCGATGCGCTTCGATTTGGCGCCCGAGCGGCTACGCCCCCCTCGGCCTCACAATCCCTGCCACCTCCCGTTCGCAGGTGAGGCTGCTGCCATCGGGGAGCCGCGAGACGCGGCCGCTGCCGCTCGTTCCCCACCCCTTCACCGAGCGAACCCGCCCGATTGCCCCCACTCTTTTCCGGCGAGAGAGCGACGCAGCCCGCTCGCTTGCCAATCGCTGCCCGGCTCCAGTCCTAGCGCCGAGGACACGAGAGAGTGTGCCGGTCGTCGCGATGCTAACGCCGAGGCGTGCTGCCCGTAGGTGTGGCAGTGACCTGGCTCGACCCTCTCTCTCTCTCTCTCTCTTTCTCTCTCTCTCTCTCTCTCTCTCTTTGAGCATGGCCTCTGCCCTTCATTAGCAAACCACGCGTCAAGCGATCGATTTCTTTTTATCTGTGTAGGCGAGGCTCGAGAGGGAGGGGGGGGGGGGGGGGGGGGGGGGGGGGGGGGGGGGGGGCTGCGGGGTTGGACAGTCTCCAGTCCCCAGTCATAATAGTAGTGCTCTGCACAGTCTGCTAGTACATTCTCCAGTAACCAGCAGGACTCTGCACAGTCTCCAGTAACCATTAATAATAGTACTGCTCTGCACAGTCTAGTGACCAGTAATAATAGGAGTGCTCTGCACAGGTCTCCAGTAACCATAGGAGTGATCTGCACAGTCTCCAGTCCCCAGTCATAACAGTAGTGATCTGCACAGTCTGCTGGTACAGTCTCCAGTAACCAGCAGCAGCAGCAGCAGGACTCTGCACATTGACCAGTGACCATTAATAATAGTACTGCTCTGCACATCTAGTAACCAGTAATAATAGGAGTGCTCTGCACAGTCTCCAGTAACCATAGGAGTGCTCTGCACAGTCTCCAGTCCCAGTCATAATAGTAGTGCTCTGCACAGTCTGCTCGTACATATAGTGCTGCTCTGCACATCTAGTAACCAGTAATAATAGGAGTGCTCTGCACAGTATCCAGTAACCATAGGAGTGCTCTGCACAGTCTCCAGTCCCAGTCATAATAGTAGTGCTCTGCACAGTCTGCTCGTACATATAGTACTGCTCTGCACATCTAGTAACCAGTAATAATAGGAGTGCTCTGCACAGTCTCCAGTCTCAGTCATAATAGTAGTGCTCTGCACAGTCTGTACAGTCTCCAGTAACCAGCAGCAGCACATCTAGTAACCAGTAATAATAGGAGTGCTCTGCACAGTCTCCAGTAACCATAGGAGTGCTGTGCACAGTCTCCAGTCCCAGTCATAATAGTAGTGCTCTGCAAAGTCTGTACAGTCTCCAGTAACCAGCAGCAGCACATCTAGTAACCAGTAATAATAGGAGTGCTCTGCACAGTCTCCAGTAACCAGCAGCAGCAGGACAGTCCCCAGTAATGGTACTGCTCTGCACAGTCTAGTAACCACAGTCATAATAGTAGTGCTCTGCACAGTCTGTACAGTCTCCAGTAACCAGCAGCAGCAGGACTCTGCACAGTCCCCAGTAATGGTACTGCTCTGCACAGTCTAGTAACCACAGTCATAATAGGAGTGCTCTGCACAGTCTCCAGTAACCAGCAGCAGCAGGACTCTGCACAGTCCCCAGTAATGGTACTGCTCTGCACAGTCTAGTAACCACATTCATAATAGGAGTGCTCTGCACACAGTCTCCAGTAACCAGCAATAATAATGGTGCTCTGCACAGTCTCCAGTAACTCCAACCAGTAGCACTTTACTTCCACACGTTGTCCTTCACACAGCCTCTCATTTCAGACCCCCCACTCATGCGCATAGCTGTTCGCACTTCCGACCAATGCAAGCCCCTTAACTCACCCCTCACCGTGCCGCCTGCCCCCCACCTTTCCCCTTCCGCAGACAATGAAGCTCATCCTCGCAGCCTTTGTCGCACTACTCCCTCCCGGCACCCCCACCGGCGCGCCGGTACCCTCACCGCCGCCCTCGCCGCCGGCCTCGCCGCCCTTCCCCCCGGGAGTTGCACCCCTCCCGCCGCCGCCATCTCCACCGGGCACCTTTGCCAACAAGCCCGCCCTGCAGACCGCGGCCGACCTGTGGTGCAGCAACGAGGCGGCCGCCCTGGCTGAGTACGGCAACATCGCGGATTGGGACTTGAGCCGCATCACCGACCTGAGTTGTCTGTTCAGCGCTTCATCGGCGTGGTGCGGTTGGAGCGGGTCCTCCACGACCGGCAAGAGCACGTGCGACCCCGACATCAGCTCGTGGGTCACGTCTGCGGCCACCGACATGAGCAGCATGTTCCACGGCGCCACCGCCTTCAACAAGGACATCTCCTCGTGGAACACGTCTGCTGTTCGCTCCATGATCAGCATGTTCGAAGGCGCCTCCTCCTTCGACAAGGACATCTCCTCGTGGGACACGTCTGCTGTTCTCTACATGAGCGGCATGTTCCGCGGCGCCACCTCCTTCGACAAGGACATCTCCTCGTGGGACACGTCTGCGGTTCTCTACATGACCGGCATGTTCGAAGGCGCCATCTCCTTCGACAAGGACCTCAGCTCGTGGGACGTGTCTGCAGTCGTCGATGGTCTCATGGGCGCCATGTTCGAAGGCGCCTCCTCCCTCAGCGACTGCAACAAGGCGCTCATCCAGGCCAGCTTCAGCACGCAGACGAGCGCGTGGCCCTCGGACTACAACTCGTGGGGCTTGTTGTGCACCGGCGTCTGCGGCGACGGCACTGCGCTCGACGCAGTGACGCGGAAGTGCGAGGTCTCGCTCGGCAACGGTACCGAGGTGCTCGACGGCAAGGTCGAGGTCGTGCTCGGCAGCGCCACCGAGGTGGTCGACGGCAAGGTCGAGATTGCGTGCTCCGACAACCGCCGCCTAGAGGAGGCGCAAGAGGAGGGCGCACAGGAGGCGGCGGCGGCGTCAATCGTCGACGGCCTCCTCGCGCGGCACCCGGACTTCGTCGCCGAACTGCGGCGTGCAAACCTTGATGAGAAGGCCATCAAGATCATGCTCGAGCTCGGGCAGGATTTTCGGCTGCCGGCGCTCGCGTAAGGCGAACGAGCGTCAATGGCATCACTTCGCCTAACTCCAAGTACGCATCGCACGTTCTTGCCCTACCGCCGCCGCTGGACGGCACTCTTGGGCGCCGCCGCCTCGCCGGCCGTGGGCTCGTTCTCGCGCTCTCCCCCTGCCAGCTTCAGGCCAGGGCGGAGGCGTGCGGCTTCTCGCTGCCGGCGGCGCCGCCTCCCTCCGCCTCGCCGTCGCCGCCGCCGCCTCCCTCCTCCTCGCCGTCGCCGCCGCCGCCCTCCGCCTCGCCGTCGCCGCCGCCGCCCTCCGCATCGCCGTCGCCGCCGCCGCCCTCCGCCTCGCCGTCGCCGCCGCCTCCCTCCGCCTCGCCGTCGCCGCCGCCTCCCTCCGCCTCGCCGTCGCCGCCGCCGCTAGGTGTCTCTGTGACTACGGGCGCTTCAACCCCAGACAGTGGAGCAGGACGCCGCCGCCAGCGCGTCCTGCTCGACGCCAGCCAGATGACTGGCCAGCCGGCGTCTACTCTGTACGACTACGCCGACAGCGTCTCCCTCGACGCGCAGTTCTACCTCGTCGACACAATTTCCGGGACCGCTCTCGACCAGACCACGATCATCGCCCTGTGCGAGAGCGCGGCGGCATCGGCGACGTGCGCCACTGGCGACAGGGCCACCACCTCCGAGCTCAAGCTGCTGCAGCTGCTCGACCGCACCGACACGATCCGCGGGGACCCTCTCCTTGACGCCTCCGAAATCCAGGATGCTGGCGCGGGAAGTGGCGTCACCGTCTCGCACGCCAACAAGGTGGAGATCGTTGCCCGTTCCGTCGCCATCTTGGAGGAGGGCCAGACGCTTGATGAGCTGGCCGCCAACGTGACCGCGGAGAACGAGCTAAAGATCACACAGCTCCGTGAAAATACCAACCTCCAAGGCAACTTGGCCTTTACCAGCCTCGTCATGTTCCCTCCGCGTCCCCCCCCCTCGTCGCCGCCGACGCCGCCACCGACCCCTCCGCCGCCACTCTTCCCTCCTAAGATTCCGTCGGACATGCCACAGACGCCCCCGCCCCTGCCGTCGGCGCCGCCGCCCTCGCCGCCGCCGCCGTCGGCGTCACCGTCGCCGCCGCCACCCTCCGCCTCGCCGTCGCCGCCGCCTCCGTCCGCCTCGCCGTCGCCGCCGCCTCCCTCCGCCTCGCCGTCGCCGCCGCCGCCCACGCCGCCGCCTCCCTCCGCCTTGCCTGCGCCGCCGCCGTCCATGTCGCCGTCGCCGCCGCCGCCTCTGCCGCCGCCTCCGTCCGCCTCGCCTGCGCCGCCGCCGTCCGCGTCGCCGTCGGTGGCCCCTTTCGGCTTTACACTCCGCCAGGGCTTCTGCGCTGACGACAACGGCAGCAAGTGCAAGGAGCTTGGCCGCGAATTTCGCAAGGGTGACTACGGCGTCGCGCGGCTTGCGTGCCGACAGCTCTGCGAGCGGACACCTGGCTGCCAAGCCGCCGAGCTTCTTCGCCTCCACAAGACGTATTCGCTCTGCAAGGTGTGCGGCTCGGCCGCCACGCGCACGAACAAGGCGCCGGCGAACAACGTCGAGTGTCTCACTTACAACAACGGGGACTGAGGCTGGTTCCCTGGTGCCCTCCCCTGCGCTGGACGGGCACCCCCCGCCCCGAATGCATGAGCTTACCTGTAGGCGGACACGATGCATTTGCACCAAGGCTTGCGACGAAAAACGCGCTCGGGGGGGGCGAGGACCCGTGCGCGGGGGACGAGGACCCGCGCAGGTGGCGAGGACCCGTGCGGCTGGGCGTGCGGCTGGGTCTATGAGGGGACTGGGGCTGGCGCAAGAGGGCCTCGGCGCCATCCACCGTGGTTGCATGTGCATGTAGCGGGGACCGACCGGCCGGGGTGGTGGGTGGCGCCTCTCACCCGGCGTCGTAGACGTAGTCCGCGCTGCATGAGGGTTCTTGTGTGCAGCGTCCCATGTAGTACTTGCCGGTTTTCTGCCTGCTTGCTTGTTTCTGGGCTCTAGGTGGTGGCGCCCACGTTGCACGAGAGCATGTGTACCGGGCAGGAGCTGTGAAAGTCGCAATTTTGGTCACTTGTAGTGAGCGTCGGGCTGGTGGTTCGACACCGAGTTTGAAAGATCTGTTTCTCTACGTCTCTCTTCACAGGAAAATCCTGTGAAGAAAAGCGGAGAAAAAAACAGAAACCTTTTCTGCCTCGGCCTTAGCCGTCGGTACTCCGAAAGCGTGCTATCCAAGTAGCACGTGAACCTGGTTTGTGGAGCTCCCGCACCTGTTCTGACAGAGACCTGGCCGTTCTGACAGCGTTCTGACAGCGTTCTGACAGCGTTCTGACAGCGTTCTGACAGCGCAAAATCCTCCCCTCTCTTCACAGCTCAGGGGTTCTGACGTTCCCAGTTGCCCCGCTCCTTCCCTCTTCCTGTCTTGAAGTCTCCCTCCGAGCCACGGACGGACTCAACACACAGCACGTCCTCCCAAGCGCCAAGGCGACACTCTCACGTTGAGGCGTACGTAGGCCCTGTTCTGACACAAACTTGGTCCCCGTTCTGACACAAACTTCAACTTTCAACTTCGAGTCCAAGTTCGCCTGTTCTGACAATCTGTTCTGACAATTTAAAAAGAAATGCGTGCATCCCACCAAGCGGGAGCGCAAACAGCTGTAACCGTCGACAGGAGCACGCCAAGGCCGCCATCATGCCGGGGCCTCGAGGCAGCAAACGCGCTCTTGCGATGGTCTGCGGCGCAGGCTGGAGCCCCGCGACAGAGCCGAAGAAGCTGCGGCCCGGCAGCAGCCACGCCGAAGCGCCGCAGCACAATGTGCGATGTGCGGGCCCGGCAGTCCAGTTAGACGCGAAGGCTGCTTCCAAGACGGCAGCCTCGGGTCACGAGGGACCGAACGTGCCGCTTGCGACGCCGCCGCGCCGTCCTTTGGCACCACCGCCAAACGGCCCTTGCTCCTCCGAGACACGCGCCGCAGAGACGCGCTTGTCGCCGCCAAAGCAACAGCAGCAGCAGTGGCAGCGAGACTTAACGTTTGCAGTGCGGCCTCGCCGCAGCCCAGCCGCCGCTCGCCTTGCCCTGGCCAGGCGGCCGAGCAGGCGGTGCCCGCAGCCGAGGCAGATCAGCGGGATGGGCTCGAGCGGGCGCCGCCGCCCCCTGGCGCCGCGCCCGCGAAGGAGCCTGCAAAGGCGGGGGCGATCGGCGAGGCGGCGGCGCTCGCGTCTTGCAGATGTTCACACTTGGCCCGCTCTCGCGTGCTGGCAACGTTCTGACAGTACCCTACCCACAAAAGTGTTCTGACAGCGTTCTGACAGCGTTCTGACAGCGTTCTGACAACGTTCTGACAGTGTTCTGACAGCCGTTCTGACAGCTTTTTGACGGTAATTTACAGTTAAGACTCACCATCTGGTCTGAATAGAGGAGAGCGATGTCAGTGTTGGTTACAGCAGAAAGGTTCCTTAATTCGCTCCACTACAAAAAAAGTCCGGTGGGGAACCGACATCATGGCCCCGAATGCCGCAGGGAGGAAAGGGGGAGAGAGGAAGCCAACGCGACGTGCGCAGAGGATGAGGATATAAACTGGGACGACGCAGCGGAGGGGATAGGCGAGGGAATCGAGGGACCGGAGGGCTTTCGCGACAGCGACGATGACGACGAAGAAAGAGGAGGGGACGGAGGGGCGACACGCAGGAGGAGCGAAATCGCTAACGGCCCGAGCAGAGAGGGCGACGGCGGGGCACGAGGGAACAACGGAGACGCTACCGATGACGCGAACCGAGGCACGGACGCCGGCGGGGACGGGGAGGGCGACAGCGACGTCGAGGTTGACGCAACCGTATCGAGAGCGCCACCCAAAAAGGGGCGGACAGCCATGGAGGTCACCGAATGGAGGGCGAACGGCACGATGCGAAAAGGCAGGGCGAGGCGGATGGAGAAAGAAGTGCCGAGAAGGCCATGGTGGAGGGGAGGGACGGGAGGACGAAAGAAGGGCGAGGAGGACGAGCGGCCCGCACAGACCGCGAGCAGACAGCGCCTGCTGGCCATTTCGAGACATTCGCCAAGAACGCTAGCTACATGGGAGGGCTTCGTGAAGGATGGATTGAAAAACATTCGAACAAAGAAGAGGCGACGGGAGGAACCGGCGGAGGATGCAGTGACGTGAGACACACACACACACACACACACACACACACACACACACACACACACACACACACACACACACACACACACACACACACACACACACCGCTCACCCACGCGCACTGGGCCTTGCACTTTGAATGCCGTGGGGCTCCTGTCGTCAGACGTGGAGACGCGAGGGTTGCCCCCCCTTGCCCCACCACCTCGTGTGTGTGGAGAAGTTTACCTTACCTTACCTTACCGAATGCCGTGCTCTCTAGGAAAGGTGCGGGAGCTCCACAAACCAGGTTCGTGTTCAAACTCTCTCGGGTTGTTGCACGAGTATATGGGCCACGATGTCTCAAATATGAGGGGTTTTGACTCCTACCGGCTCCTGACGCTATTCCTGGCAGCTCTAATGGCCAGGGTCAGTAGTGTTGTGATAGATGGTGCCCATACTAGCGCAGGAGCTGCCACACTCGCCCGGACCGTCCCCTTCTGGGGCCGGTTCCGCAGCCCGCGAGAGCCGACAGCGGGGCCGTGCCGCGGGTGCCTACTGCCGAGTGCCACAAACACTGCGCCGTCCCGCCATCACCTACAGGCTGTCTTGTGGGATGGTTGGGATGTCCAAACGCCACCATCTTGGCTCTTGCGACCTCAAACCCGCAAGCTGTATGGGTGGTCCTGACGTCGACAGACGCCCGATGACCACGGTGAAGCTGAGCCGGAACGAGTCGACAAGTCTCGCCTGAGCCCGTGGCGGTCGCCGGCTGAGTCGTTGTGCACGGTATGATGTAACATACTTCCGGGCCGGTGTGCGGGGAGCGAACCTTAACGACCGCCCAGAAGCTTTCTGAGCGAACCAATCGGGCCAGGATCATCAGCATATGTCCCCTGCACAACATCGTGGGCGTTTGAGCGGTATTTGAGGAGCACCGCGACTCTGAAGTTCGGCCGGGTGGTCTGCAGACCCCCCCCCCCCCCCCCCCCCGGAGCAGCAGAGGCTCCGTGGGGTCGAAAAGTCGACGCTGGGAGTCGCACTCGTCAAACCGTCGCAACACCACGCGGTCCGCACGTACCTCCCACATCCCCTCCACCGCTGAGAAGGCGCAGATCGACCGCCGGGCCGCGTAGTCGTCGTTAAGGAGCGGTTTTTGGAGCCGTACGAAGAGGTCCCAGACACGGGCGAACATGCGGTTTTTCGACGACCACACGCGATGTGGTATCTGGTTTTTGCTAAAAACGGGCCGCCTAGTGCAGCATCACTAGTACAACACGCAACCACACTGAGAGCTCCACACTAGCCGGTATAGGCGAGCCCCGGCGGCCTCACCGTCGCCGCTCGCGGCGGAGCCGACGGCGGAGCCACGGGTCGGTGCGACCTTTTGGGGGCCCATGAGCTCGCCGGGACGTCACCGATGGCTCGGCGCGCCTCTTCCCGCCAGCGCGGGGCGGCCCACCTACAGGAGCGAGGGGGAGGTGGTCGTGCGCTCACTTTGGCGGTCGCGCGCGAGGTGAATACTGGGTGTGAAGCGCGCAGGAGGCGATAGTGGGCGCGCCGGCGGTCGAGCCACCGAAGAATTCGACGTGGCGCAGCTCCGCGCCGGCGGGGACGACCGAGCACATGATGTCGGCGGCGGTCACGCGACGAGGGAGAGCCGCAGGAGCCCTCTGAGAGCCAGGCGCCGAAAAGCAGCGTGGGCGGCGGCCGCTATCAGCCACCTGTGGGCGGTCATCGGGGTCGCGGTCAAGCGCTGCCAGGGTTGGATCCGGTGCGTCTGGTATCACTGGTGGGCTGGGTGTGCAGCAGCCGCGCTCAAAAAGAGGCAAAAAACTCGACAACTGTTTGGAGTGTCAGCTCTCTCGACACACCGTGCTCGGCCCGGCTGGCAAGCTGGCTGGTGGTCGCGCGCAGCGCGTCCGCGCGGCTGCGACTGGTCGGGCACCTCGGCTGGGTCCATCAGCACGAGGCCCGCCCCGTCGGGAAGCCCAGCGAGCGCATGGGCGGCCGGCGCGAGCGGAGATCGGCGGCCGAGAATCCGACTCGTCTGATGCATCCCGTCATCAGTGTTTTTTCACTATTTATGTGACCGACTCGGCAATCCTCCTCCTCCTCCTCAATTGCGTCGCTCATCTGGAGGCTCTTGACGACGGCAGTCTGGTCGACGGGGTGCGGCGCCACCGCCGCCGGCTTGGCCGCCGGCGCCGTCGCCACGCGGTAGAAACGCGGTCGCTTGCCCGGGGATGCGCTGTCGAGGCTCACCACGCGAGCCGAGCGTCGGCGGTGTGCGAACACGCGTCCCATCACCAGCAACAGTGCCGCGACAACGGCCGCGACAACGGCAAGGATCACAGCGGCCGAGACGCCGCCTTTCTTAGTGAGGAGACGCACCACGGTTGGTGTCGCGGGGCTGGGGTGGGACGGCGGCGAGGTGGGGTGCATGTACCTCAACAATAACTCACGTATTTTTTTTTGAGTCGGCGACACAGCCGTCAGTCGTCCTCCATCAGGACACGCTGGACGCCCTCTGGACGCTCTGGAGCGGTGCGCGCAGCCCCAAACTCGCGGGGATCGAAGCGCCAGCTGTAGTGCTGCTGCCTGTTCCACTTCCTGGGCAGCAGCATCAGCCACTGCTGCCCTGCCGGCTCGTCAAAGTCCGGGTCCGCGTCCCACTCCCAGAGCACCGCACCGGCCGGCACCAGTGCAATACTGGATGTGATAGCACCCCCCTCCCTCTGCGCTCTCACTCGTGGGACATCGGACAAGTCGCGGAGGTTTCGTGCTCCGATGCTGCTCGTCGTCACCGCTGTGGCGGCACTCCGTTGCCCTCCCGGCAGAACGGTGGTGGCGCTCCGCAGTCCAGCCGGGCCACTGCGTTGCGCCAGTCCAGTCGGGCCACTACGTTGCGATTCGCTGCGTATGAACACGGAGGTGGAGGTGCCTCCGGCCGACGTCCAGGAGGGCCCGGCCGTGGTTGCCATCCGAGAGTACTTTGGCGCGTGGAACCGACGCGACATGGACGCGGCCTGTGAGTGCTTCGCGGACGAGTGCGTATACGACGACACTCAGTACAACGGCGCATTCTCTGGAAAGGTGGCCCTCAAGCAACACCTCCTCCGCGTCGCAGACGCTCTTCCACCCACGTTCCAAGTTTGCATAGATGAAGTGGCAGACGGCGGCAGCACGGTGGGCGTGCAATGGCATGTCGAGAACGATGGCCGCCCGCTACCGTTCACACGTGGATGTTCCATGTACAAGGCCGATCCATCGACGGGTCTCCTCATCTCCGGGTTCGACGTGCCCGAGCCGGCGCCCTTCAAGCCTGGCTCCGCCTCGCTGCTCCTGCTCGGCGTCGCCTCGAAGGTGATCGCAGAGCCGATCCGCGCGGTGCCTCTCGTGGTGTGGGGGCTGTACGTGAGCATCGTCTTCTTCTCAAACGGCATTCTGCCAGGGCCCGATGCCACGCAGCTCGATCCCGCCACATGGACCGAGGTGATCGGCCTCTCGCTCAACTTCTGGCTCGTGGCGCCCATCCTGCACCTGCCCTTCTCGCCCGCCCTCCACCCTGGCCTCGAGGCAATCTTCAACTTGCTGCTCGCGTGGGCGGCCGCCTTTGCCGGCTTCCTCTCCGACGGACGGCCGGGGCGACCCTCCGGCTCCATGGTCCCCGTTGTTGCGGGCATGCAGTTCCTCACGAATGCCTTCCTGCTGCCGTACCTTGTCGTGCGAGCGCCGGAGTCGAACGCTCCCGTGTATTACGACGAGTTGGAGCCAAAGGAGGCGCTCGTGAGCGAGTGGCGTGGGCTCGGGCCGCTGCTGGCGACGGTCGGCACCGGCTCGCTCGTGTGGGGCCTCGTGGCGCGGCCTGAGTTTGGCGAGCTCGCGACGCGGTGGGCCTCGCTGATTGATCTCCTCTCCGCCGATCGGCTCGCCTCGTCGTTCGTCGTCGACCTGGTGCTCTTCGCCCTTTTCCAAGGCTGGCTTGTCGACGATGATCTCCGGCGGCGCGGCGTCACCGACACGTCGGAGTCCGCCACGCTGAGTGCCGTTGCCAAGTTTGTGCCCTTTTATGGCATGTGCGCATACCTGGCCTTGCGCCCCGCGTTACCGACTCGTCCAGAGCTGTCGGAGTGAGGAATTTGCCAGGGGGGCGGCGATGGGGCCGGCTCTAGCTGTGCATGGAAAGGCAACCACTCGCCCCGCGTGCGCAGCGCCCGCAGCCCCTGCCTCACGAATGTGGTATAAGCTGAAGCCGTGTTCGTACATACGCAGCGACACGAGTCGAGTTGACAGTACATTGTACGGGACGTAGGTTCCTAGGACCACAAGTGTACGTAGGACCACAGGGTGATGGCCGCGCCAGCCGTCATTCTGCGCGTTAAAGCTCCTTAGCAGATAAAGGACTCCCGCATAGCAATAGTTACACTGTTTAGGACGTTCAGAAAGACAAGAGAGAAGGGTACCACACGGTCCCACACGGTCCCACGGGTCCCACGGGGGGGGGTGCTCGAAAAAGAAGCGGCGTCTACTAAAAACGCGCACGAGAGGGGAACACGACGCGCGATGGAGGCGACGGCGGCGAAGCAAGGCCCCAAGCTGGTGGCGCCGCTCAATCGACGGCCGCACGCAGCTGAAGGAGAAGGGCGCGACGCGCTCGAGCGAATTCCTACAGCACTCAGCAGAGTTACTTTTTACAGGGGTCGGGTTATGGAAGGCGCTAGGCGGCTCATTACACCTCATTTCACATTTTTGGTTTTCGACAGATACAGCCATTTGGTTTTCGGCGCTTGGAGAGCAGTCCTCACAGCTTCATCGGGGACCCACAGGCCCCATGCTCGTTGGAAAGGCCTGAGTGAGGCACCGAGACAGCATGGGGCCTGTGGATCCCCGGATGAAGCTGTGAGGCGTCGCGCGCGTGAGGCATGCTCTCTCCAAGCGCCGAAAACCAAATGACTGTCGAAAACCAAATGTGCCCTTCCATCCATACACTACCGGTACCGGACCGGTACCGGGACCGGTACCACCGACCGGTACCGGTCCCGGTACCGGGACCGGTACCGGTGCCGGTACTGCGTTCTGTATCCCAGCCCCTTGACTATCCATACAGTTCACAGATGACAGAACAACACCAGGGAAAAAGATGGCCGACGTCGGTGGCCCTCCGTCGCCAGACTCCCGTCGGCAGAATCCAACGGTGGCGGTATGCGTCGCCGGGCAGTTGCGCACATTGCTCGAACAGTCGTTGCAGGACCACTGGCAGAATGTCGTGCTCCAGCCCTTGCAGCACTCGTACGCCATCTTCTTGCAGGTCAGCACCGAGGGCGCCGGCAGGGTGCTGCCCTCTGCTCTCGAGCACCTCGCAAGCTGGCTCAAGCCGTGGGCGTCAAGCATTGCGACGGACGAGGACGTGCTACTGGCGCATAACACCAGCGTGAGCGCATCGCTGCAAGCCATGCGCGTCGCGAGATTGCTGCACAATGGGCTGCGCGGCACGCTGGGCCTTCGCTGGGAAGGATGCCTTCGCGACATCGAGTCGGCCGAAACGGAGCACAGGCACACCTTTGGCTGGGTGGTTCGTACACGGCCAGATCTGGCCTGGCGGTGCACCCTGCCTCGCCTCAGCCTGTGGCCCGCGCCGCGCCAGCTGGACTCAGTCCTTTTGATGGCAGACTATGCGGCGGTCATGCCGCGGCAGATGGCGGCAGCGATGCTCCAGCTGCACCATCGGGTGAGCAATGCAAGCGCTGGGTCATGCGGCATGGCCTTGTTCGAGCACGACGCCTGTATGGACGCGCTGCTGCACGCGCTCCGCATCGGCGCGTGCGAAATCGTCCCGCGTGCCCACCTAGTCCGGGCGGCAGATCTGAGGCGCGGGCTGCGCCCTGCTCGAGGCCCATTGCCGACTTGCCAGATCGGCTGGTCAGCAAGCCGACCCGATGCACCGCCGGGGAGCTTTTGCCTGCCGTCGGCGTCGCTGCTGCTCCCGTGTTCGTCCGCATCCTTCGTCGGCAAGCACGGGATGGGCAGCTGGCGATGCAGAGCCAATGCCACGGCATTCGCCCGGTGGCGTCGCCTTGCCGCGCGTGTGCATGCAGATGCTGACACGGGCAGGCCGTGGTGGCAAGTGCCACCTCCAGGCAACGCAAGTGCACAGCCGCACCGTGGTGAGAGGGCGTCGAGTCAATGTGAGCGGGGGAATCCTGGCCGCTCTCGCTGTACGTGACCGGACGGGAGCCGTCGGCTCTCGTCTATTAGTTGGTGATGTGCCACGCCACGTGAGACGTGTGCCACCCGTCCGTGAGCACACTCGCATGCCTTTGCATGCCTGCTTGTGGACTTTGCTGCCGTTGCTTTGTGTCGCCGTTGTCCTGTGCCGTGTCCGTTGTTTTTTGTTCAAACGATCGCTAATCAGAGGGGGACCCCTCGCATGCTGTTCGGCTCGCGCACGAGCTAGGCGTCTACTCAAACGGCCGCGCATGGGCCGGAAAAGGCTGGGTTCGCTTATGACGCTGGAGGGCTTCCGGACCCGACATTGTGGCTTTTCCTTAGGAAGAAATTTCCAGTCCGCTTCCGCAGAGGCTACCTCGGTACCCATCGAAGCCGAGTCGAAGCTGCCCGCTGGGCTAGGCGCGGCCGATCTAAATCGTCATACACGTACCGCGCCACGGCGTAGTTGGTCGAAGGGAGTCTATCCGCGCTCCCTGGCTTATCCCTGGCCTGGCGCTGGCGGCCGACGCCATCACCATCGACCAGCGCATGGCCACATGCGGCGTGCTCCCGCGCGGACGGTACAACCACCATGCTGACGACGCGCGTTACCGAGAGTATGTGTGGACGAACATGCTGACTCTGCCTACGAGGGTTCTCACTTCTTTTTCCCGGCAGCCGCAGGAGCAGGTGGCATGTCCTGGCCTTCTGGCGGCGTCCACAGCGGCTCGAGCGTCTGCGGGCTGCTCCCGTCGTCCGCAGCTGCAACGACCTTGCACAGGATGCACACCTCCTTTGGTTTCAGCACCTGCGTCGCCATCGTTTTCCCCATGTCCATCAGACCGACGGTGCTTCCGTCCTCGCGCTGCAGCTCCACCGGCTCTGCGAGGTCACTGTAGCCACAGTTCTCCTCGGGGCGGGTCTGGCCGGGGCGGGTCGGGCCGGGGCGGGCCGGGGCGGGCCGGGGCGGGCCGGGGCGGGTGGGTTGATTTCGGAGTGACTCGGTGTGATTCTCGGTTGATCTCGGGCGATCCCCCACACAGGTGAGCGACACGTACATCACCCACATCATTCAGGAGTGGTTCTATGGCCGTGTTGAGCGGTACATCAAGCAATGGTTCGAGCAGCACTGTCCGATGGACATATGCCTCGCTGACCATCACGGCAAGTACGCGTCCCGACAGCGGCTTGACGGCGAGCGCTTCTTAACTTGGGTCTACCGATGTATGAACTCCTGGGGCGGTATCCCCATATCTGTCTTTGTCGAGACGACCTCCATGCGCGATCCAATCACAGTTCGAGCGCACAACGGCTACAGAGAGGCGGCCAGGGTGCACGGGCATGAGCCGCCCTACCATAACGTGGTGGACAATCCGCACAAAGACGGGCCAGGTTTGCTCGAAAACAACTATCCTGGAGGCGGCAAAGAGCAACTCCTATTCGGCGGGTCGGTCGTCCAAGTCGTTACCGAGAGCGAGTGCGACGCCGCGTGTGCCTCCCTGCGGCAACAGGCCGCCAGCGCCGCCGGGCGGCGTGGTCAGCCTCGCGTGTATTGGGACACTGAGAATGCGATGCGGCCAGGTGGAGCATCGGGCACGGCCAAGGCCGACTTGGTGCAGATTTTGGCGGGTGCCGACGCGTGCTATCTATTCCGCGTTTGCTTGTGGCCGACGTGCTTTGCGTCGTTCGCGCGGCTGCTTGGGGAACGCTCACCCCGACGCACAAGCTGCCCGCCGGCCCGGCAAAGGCGCTCAAGCAGGCGTCCGAGGTTGCCGTCGGAGAGACGGTCTGGATCGCGTCGCCGGCCGCGGGCACGCTCGTGCAGGCGCGTCTATACCCCCAGCACCACATACACACCCCTGCCTATCTCCCGATGCGAGCCCCCCCCCACCCCCCTCTTGCCAGGCGCCCGTCCTCAAGATAACCAAGGTCGTGGCCGACGGGCTGCACAGCCCGCTCACCAAGCACGGCGGCTGGCCGGTCGTCGACGGCGTCGCGACCTCGTACAGCAGCGCGGCCGTCGTCGCGCGCAACAAGTACCTCGTCCCGCTCGTCGAGGCGGTCTGCCCCTCCCTCGGCCGCCTCGTCGTGGCGGCCGTGAACCCCAAGCCGATGCACTACATCGATGGCGAGGTGAGCCCTCTTCCGCCGTCCCATGTTATATCTCACGTGTCCCCACTCCTCCCCACCCAGTCGCCCACGTTCGCCTCGCTTTCGACCGAAGGTGGTCGAGCCAATCTCGTCGCTCGAGGTCGCCGCTGCCGTGGCCGTCACGGCCGCCGCCACCCTTGGCGTGCGCAAGATCACGGCGCGCAAGTAATGCGCGAAGCGGGGTGCTCCAGCTCGGATCGCGCGGTTACGTGTTCTATCACGCTTGCGGCAACACAGCTGCTGTTTTGGTTCTCAACCTCCTCGTCAGGAAAGTTGAAAGTAGACCCCCCCCGATGAACACACCAGTGAGGGAGGGCGAGACGATCGAGGGGTCCCGTACCATGCGGAATCGACCCTATCCAGTGCTCAAGTGCTCAAGTCAGGCCCATAGAGCTGAAGCGTGAAGGAGAAAAACGTGCGCTTAATCGCGATGTTGATTGTTGTGCGCCAGAGCTGCTTTGCGCATTACTTTAGCGTGACGAACTCGACCAAACGCGTGGGCACGTACTTGAATGCAGCGCGTGAGCCGCTCTGATCGACGCACTTAAAGCCAGCCTGCCTCGCAACGTCCGCGAGAAGCTCCCGTCCGACAGCGTTGATCGAATCCGTGTCCACGTAATCGACCTGCATAAATTGAACGTGGCTGCGTCGCTATCTATGGCCTATGCTCCATGCGCAAGAAGTTTTTCAGCTCGTCAGTCGTGGACACGCCGTTGGCCTCGGCAGTGTCGTAGATGTACTGCCAGAACTCAGACTCAGGAGCTTCATTCAGGGAAGCTGCCCTGGAATACGCGGTACGCCTTCTTCCAGAGCTCCTCGCTGGCATCCGTCGACGCCCGCTTCTTGGGTCTTGGAGCCATGGAAGGTGGCACGCCTTCAAACCGAGCGTGGTCCAACTGGCTGAGGTATTTCTTCTGAGCACTGGATGGAGCCGCACTGGATAGGGTCGATTCCGCATGGCACGGGACCTTGTTCATTTGGGGGGGGGTCATAACAAACACGGTACAGGATCGAGGTGCACGCTGCTGAAGCAGTGTGAGTGTCGTCCCGGATATGACACCAACGCGGTATGGGAATCCTCGCTACAAAACGCGGCCAAAAAAAGCAATCCCTCGAGACCTCGAGAGGGTTATGAGCTTTGGAGGTCGATACCTCGACACGCCTTGCTTCTCCTCAATGCTCGCTGCGACGCTCTCCAGACCCGCCTTGGCCACGCGAGGCCTGTGTGCGCGCGCCGCCTCGTCGCTCATCGCATCCATCGACCAGGGTACCTCCAGCTCGCGTGTCATCCTTTACGACGCCGTCACGCTCAGGCCGGTCGCGTCGCACCAAGTGGAGCTGCAGTCGGCAACGAGCAACCCGCAGGCGGGCTGGTCGCAGATGGACGCCAAAAGGATTGTGGGGACCGTCACCGACTCGGCTGCCGCGGCGCTCGCGGCCGCGGGCGCCAGCGCCTCTGACGTCGTCGGCGTCGGCATCACCAACCAGCGGGAGAGCACGGTAGTGTGGGACAAGCGGACGGGCGAGCCGCTGTACGACTGCATCCTGTGGTGAGCACGCCCCGGCCCCTAGGAAGGGGGGCGGCGCGAAGGGAGAGACGCGGCGCGGCGGCGGCCGACGTCTTTGCGGCGCCCGCAGGACGCAGCACAGCCACCAGACTCCGTCCCTCCCCCTACTCTCGCGGCGCAGGCACGACGCGAGGACCGCGACGACGGTGTCCGCCCTGGCCGACGAGCTGGGCGGCCAGGACGCGCTGCGCGCCACCTGCGGCCTGCCTCTCTCGACTTACTTTTCGGGCGTCAAGCTGCGCTGGCTGCTGGAGACAGTGCCCGCCGTCAAGGAGCCTAGAAGCGGAATATCTCCCCCGTATCTCCCCGCACCTGGCAGCACGGAGCCTAGAAGCAGAAGACGTGCTTCTTGTGCCCCCAAACTAGCGGTCGAGAGGACACGCAATCAGCCGCATTCAGCCGCATTCGCTGCTCTCGTAGCCCCTCGTCCTCACGCGCTGCTCTGAAGGCACTGCACGGTACCGTCTTCCCCGCCCTGAGTTCTGGCGCCTTCCACTCGCGCAGGTCAAGGAGGGCTTCGAGTCTGGGACGGCGCTTGTTGGGACCGTCGACTCGTGGCTCGCGTGGAACCTTCTAGGAACCTTCTAGGAACCTTCTAGGCGCTCGTTGGGACCGTCGACTCGTGGCTCGCGTGGAATCTGACCGGCGGCGCGGGCGGCCGCGCCACAAGGCACGTCTCCGACGTGACCAACGCGTCGCGGTTAATTTATTAACCAAGGCCGTCATTAATAATTAATTGACCACTCAAGGCACGTCTCGGACGTGACCAACGCGTCGAGGACGATGCTGATGAACCTCTCGACGTGCGGCTGGGACGGCGGCCTCGTGCGCGCGCTGGGCGTGGGCGCGGCGGAGGGCGCCCTCCCAACCATCGTCTCGTGCGCCGAGGAGATTGGGCGCGTCGACGGCGGGCCGCTGCATGGGGATGCCGCTCACGGGGAGGACTGGAGACCAGCAGGGCCCTCTTCACACCTCCAAGCTGTGAACAGGCGCCGCTCACGGGGAGGACTGGAGACCAGCAGGGCCCTCTTCACACCTCCAAGCTGTGAACAGGCGCCGCTCACGGGGAGGACTGGAGACCAGCAGGGCCCTCTTCACACCTCCAAGCTGTGAACAGGCGCCGCTCACGGGGATGATTGGGGACCAGCAGGCCGCCATGGTCGGCCAGCGCTGCTTTGGTGTCGGCGAGGCCAAGATCACTTACGGCACCGGCGCCTTCATGCTCGGCCGACCTAGAAGCAGACCACGGATTCGTGCACCCCAACCAGCACTCAAGAGGACACGTACTCAACCGCATCCCGCACTGCTCCGCTGTGCTCACAGCCTTCGCACCCACTCGTGCTCACGCGGTGCTCTGAAGACTCCGCACAAGACCGACTCCACGCCCCCCCATGTCGGCCTACTCGCGACGCAGGCTCGTTAACAGCGGCGGCGCGCCGGTGCCGTCGAGCCACGGGCTTCTCTCGACGGCGCTCTACCGCTAATTATTTTTTATTTATTAATTATTAATTAGGTGCCGTCGAGCCACGGGCTTCTCTCGACGGCGCTCTACCGCAAGTTAATTATTAATTATTAATTATTAATTAGGTGCCGTCGAGCCACGGGCTTCTCTCGACGGCGCTCTACCGCCAATTAATAATATTATTAATTATTAATTAGGTGCCGTCGAGCCACGGGCTTCTCTCGACGGCGCTCTACCGATTCGGCGCGAGTGCGCCCACGCAGTGCGCGCTTCGAGGGGGGGCGGCCTCGCCGTCGAGGAGCCTCCCAGAAGCCTTCCAGGAGCCGCCTCTCTAGGTACGCGCTCGAGGGGGCGGTGGCTTCGTGCGCGGTCGGGATCAACTGGTTCAAGGACTCGCTTGGCATGATCGGCACCGCGCCGGAGATCTCGTCGCTGGCCGCGCAGGCGCCGTCCCCTCATCTCTCCCCAGATCTCCCCGTATCTCGGCGCTGGAGATCGATCTCATCGCTTGGCCGCGCACACTGCCCGCCGGCGCGGTGCTCGCACCGGGCAGTGCCTCCACGGCTGTGGTGGTGCCTTATGGCGGGTTCGGCGTGAGCGCTAACGCGGAGCCTGATGAATCCCCTGAGCATGTCTGAATCGTCGTGAGTGCGTTAGCGGCGCCACCGCCCTTCTTTGCCGCGCAGGTGCCGGAGGGGACGGAGGGGCTCGTGTTTGTGCCCGCCTTTGGCGGGCTGCTCGCACCGCACTGGCGCGACGACGCGCGCGCGACGCTGGTCGGGCTGACCCTCGCGCACGACAAGCGGCGCGTCGCGCGGGCGGTGCTCTTAATGAACTCTTAATGACCTCTTAATTCGCTGTAATTAACTCTTAATTAGGCGCGTCGCGCGGGCGGTGCTCTTAATGAACTCTGAATGAACTCTTAATTCGCTGTAATGAACTCTTAATTAGGCACGTCGCGCGGGCGGTGCTCGAGGGCATCGCCCACCAGGCCAAGGAGGTGACTGTCTGCATGGCCGCCGACACCGGAGCGGCGCTCACCGGCCTGCGCGTCGACGGCGGCGTCGCGCTCTCCGACGAGCTGCTGCAGTACCAGGCGGACTTGTGCGGCATCGCTGTCCAGCGGCCGCGCGACGTGGAGACGACCGCGCTTGGCGCTGCCATCGCTGCCGGCTTGGGCGCCGGGGTCTGGAGCTCGATCGCCGACATCCCATCGAGCGGCGACGACATCGAGCGCACCTTTGAGCCCGCCATTTGCGAGGAGGAGCGGACGGCGCGCTGCGCGAGCTGGCAAAAGGCGGTGGAGTCGTCGTTTGGGTGGGCGCGGGAGTAAAAGGCGGTGGAGCCGTCGTTTGGGTGGGCGCGGGAGTGAAGAAGGGCAGCGCGCGGACCGAGCCATGTAGCATGTACTCCGGGCGCGTGGGCCGAGGCGCGGCCCCATCGTCGCGGTTGAAGCATCTGTAGTTTTGATTGCTCGGACACGCCGGCATGGCATATGTCTCCTCGGCGCTGCGGCGTGCGGGGCATACTTTGTAGGTAAGGTAAGGTAAGGTAAATTTCTCCACACACACAAAGTGGTGGGGCAAGGGGGGGCGACCCTCGCATCTCCACACCCGGACACGGGCAGGAGCCCCACGGCATTCAAAGTGCAAGCACTGGCCCGGTGCACGTGGGTGAGCCTTTACACAGGCTAGATACAGCATATACGCGCGGCTGGTCGTCTTTTTGTTTTTGGATATACACCAGCCACGTATCCACGCGTGGTCCGCGCGCATGGCATACAGGCGTTCGCCAGACACGAGACAGCGCAGAGCCAGAGGCTCTAAAGCCGTACGGAAACTACTTTACGCGCGGTAGCCGGTACGCGCTAGACGGGGGAAGGACCGTGAGTTGAGGAAATCGAGGGACGCGACCCACTTCGCCACAGACGGTCCCGCACCTCGCCGCTATGACCGCTGCACGGCCCGTACCGTCGGCTGTGCAGCGGTCTTTGTCCGGAGTGAATACACCAACGCGCTCGTCGGTGACGGTGTCCCCGGATTTCGCCGCGCTCGGCGAACCTCGACAGCGCCTTTGGTGGCATGCAGCTTTTTGCGACAGAAGCCTGGAGAGCAGCTCCTCTGCTGCTCACACGCTCTGCACAGATGGCACAGCCTACTGTGCGGCTGCCACAGCTGTGACAGTGATGGGCTCGCCCTCACTGGCCCTCAGTCACTTGTGCTGCGGCTTGTGTGAGCGCGACACTGCTCGGCGACTGCCGGCACACTGTGAGACCATGGGTGTGAGGTAAAACCACGCTACCAGCGCTTGGTCACATCGGCCCCGAGGTCAGATCCTTCTACTCTGTTGATGACAATACTTGTCTACTGGCTGGAGCCGAGCAGGAGGGCCCGGCGCACATGAACCGCTGGTCAACTGAGGGTCCTTCCCCTTTAGGCGGGCCTCTCTCAGCAGCACGGAAAGTAGCGCGCGACAGAGCGCTGTTCTCGGCCCCCTGAGCGTATTGGGACGAGCCAGACTAGCATGCACATCGCCTTGGCACGTAGGACGCACGACTTACCCACGCACACCCCGGTGACAATCTTGGAAATCTCCCGACAATCTCCCCAAATCTCCTCCCGCTCTCGCGAGTAGCGCGGCGCAGCGGGGCGCGTTGATGTCGATGAATGCAGTGTGGACTCCTTTTCGACACTCTCTAGCACCGGTGAACACACAGGCGTTGCTTCCGAGGTGGTAAAAATCTGTGAATGCCCGCCGAAGTTGTCGCGGTTTTCCGACTTGTCTCGTGCTCGAGCCATGCCGAAAAGAGCGGGCGCAGGCCTGGGACAGCGTCGCAAAAGCGGCCAAGGAGTCCGTCCCGGCTCCAGGCCAGGACCAGATCGCCGCTCGGTACCGCCAGTTTGCGACTCTGTGCCTGCGCAGTCGTCGCTATCTCACGCTTCCGATCTCGTCACAACAGGCGCCCTCGCCGAGTGCAACGTCCTCGCGGCCGCAAAGCCGTGCTGGCTCGCGCAGAGTCGGCGTCGCAAAGAACCTGAGAGCGCCGCGGCATGCTTCGGTTGGCGACGTCCTCGGCGAGGCCATGGAGCTGCATAGCACGAGCGACGAGGGCCGCCGCGACGGGATCTACAACCAGAGAGAGCACGGACGCCGAGGATCGCTCTCCCGTGCAGCGCCGCAGCGGCTCGTCGGCGGCTCGTCGGCTGCGGCCTCGAACGGAGATCGCATGGAGGTTGACGAGGAACCTCCCTCTCTGAGCAGTGCTCCAGCGGAGCCTGCGCAGCAGCAGCAGCAGCAGCAAGCAAGCGTGCTCACGCTGGTGGCAGACATCGGACGCCTCGAGCTGGAGGAGGTTGGCCACCGTGCCGCCGCTCGCGAAGCGATTACAGCGACAACCGGGACGCAAACATCAGGCGTGCCGACGCCTCGCGAGCTGCGTGCCCAAGCCCGGCTCGACTTGCAAGTCGTAGGGCTGCGCGAGGAGGAGCGGCGGCGGCAGCGGCTGCACGCGGCGGCAACGACGAGGCTCGTTCGAGAACTGGCGCTGAAGCTCTCGAACCCGCTGCGACACTTTGGCGGGGGTGCATTCATTCAGTTGATGATGTGCGAATTCGTCATGCGGCCAGAGGTACAGGGCCGCTCCGGCCGCTCCCTCGGCGTAGCGTTTCGCTCGCAGCTGCTGCTGGTGTACGAGCCCAGCGACGTGCCGACGCTCCCGGGCCTCTACAGCCTCGACGTCTTGCAGGCGTCGCTCAACACTCCGCTGTTGCAGCGGGCCGCCCTGCAGGCGATCGACGACGTGAAGCTCTTCTCGCTCCACCTGCCCGGCGTGCTCGGCAAGGTGGAGCCGACAGAGGCCGACTCGCTCCTCGGCCTGTGGCAGCGCGCGGCGGAGGTGCGGGCAGCGGAGGCGCGCCGGCCGCAGCGCGGCCGGCCACGCCATCGCATCGAGTTCGCGCTGCGTCAAAACATGACGGGTAATCGTTACTCGGCCGCCCTGCGCAAGGCCGTGTACTTGTACCGCCACAAAAGCGGTACGGAGCGCTCAATCTCGATGCGCGGCGCTGCGTCGCTCGCTCGGGATGGCGCCACGCTCCTGTTCGACATCTCGGACGACGATATCGCACGCGTGCATAACATCATTGTGCATAACATGCAGGACCTCTCACCGTGGGCCGACAGCCAGGACGTGCAGGCGAGGGCGCCGATCTCGGGGATGACGATTCGCGCCGGATCGCTCTTCAACCGCTTCAAATCGGGAGCCCCCACCGGGTGGGTGGCGAAGCTGTTCGCGGGCGAGGCACCGACGGAGCGCAAGCTGGTCATGCAGCGCTTTACCGACGGCAGCGAGTTTGGCGGGCACTGGCACCAGCTCCTCTTCTTCGTCGACCAGAGACGGGTGCTCTACCACGAGCCCTATGGCGGCGCAATCGACTCGGGCATCGCGTCTTGCTTCCACCGGAGCCCCGGGCCTGCCGCCGGCTGGGCGCTGGAGGTGGTGGATGTGCAGCTGCAGTCTTGCACTCACGAGTGCGCGCTCTGGGTGGACTTTGTCGCGGAGGTGGCTGTCGACTACGTGAGGAGCGACCTGACTCGCTCCTTCAGCGAGTACCTTCGCGGGTGCGCTCTCCCTGTGTGTGTGTGTGCATGCCTGCGATAAGGCTGACCGGTGTCGCGCCGCCCCCGCAGGCGTGAGGAGATCACCCCGCTCAACGGCATGCGGCGGACTTGCACGGCGATGAAGACGGCGAAGGCAAAAAACAACGCCTTCGTCGCACAGCGCCGAAACGACGTGCGCACGCTGTTACGTCTAGCCTATGTCCAGCGCCAACTGCCGCACACAGGCTCCGCAACGCTGACCGCCTTTGGCGCAGCGGCGGAGCAGGAGCCTGCCGAGGACACAGACTCGGACTTTGAGATGTTGACCTAGACCGACGTGTGATTCAGATAGTTGTCTTCAGATGTGTGTGTGATTCAGATGTGTGTGCGTGTGATTTTCGGCACGGGTATAGATTAGAAGGAACGTATCGTCACACACACCCTCTTTGAGAGAGGGACACAGCGTGGTGCCACAGTAGCGGGCGCTTCTACAGAGGCAACCGGTCCGAGGGCGAGCGTTTCGCTCGCCCTGATGCGCATGAGCGACGTGGAAGCTCTCGACCGGCGCAGATGCCACGGGCGACACCAATCCCAGCCTCAAAAGGCGAGGAGGGCTGGTGGAGTGCCCAGACGGCAGTGGCTTCCGAAGAACTTTTTGCGGGTGACGCAAAGGATCCGAGGAGAGAGCACCTCGGCTGCCGGCGAGGCATCCGCCCCGCGCCCACACATCTGATGGAAAGTGCGATGAAGCGGTGGCGGCAGGCTAGCCACCGGTGGGGCACACGGAGCGATATGGCGTTCGGCTGCGATTTGAGTGCAACCGGGTGACGCATCTCCTCCACAGAGACGCGGGGACGGCGTGCCTGCGAGGCGCCCGATATGCGCCAACGGACCCAATGGAAAGTGCGAAGCGAGCACTCGACGGCTCGCAGCCTGTGGACGGAGCACGAGAGCTCGAACCTCGCACTCGCGTGCAAAATCGGCACCTCGGAGCGCCATTTTCACACCGCATTCGAGCCCATGAAAACAACAATGTACCCCAAGCAGCACGATCACGCCTCGCACCGGTGCGGTGGTGCCGGGCGGCTCTAGGGGGTCAGGCTGGCTGCATGGCACCACCCGTAGCCCGTTTTGCTGCCCTGGCATCACCCGGAGGGGGGATTGAACATAGTATCGCGGAAACGACGAAAGCTGACGCTGGGCTCTGGCGAGGTGGGCAGCCGCTGCCATGCACACCGCGGAGCCGAGCGGCCACTGGCGCCGACTCCGCTTCGCGGCTGAGCGGGCCGCCGAGGTTGGATGGATGGCAGGATCGCGGTGCATCATTCTCGACTTCACCTTCTTCTACACCTGGTCGCGGCTCCTTACGTGCGTCTCCTCCCCCCAGCACCCAAGGAGCAAGCTAGGACCTAGGTGCCGCCAAAGGGCGCAAACAAACAACAGCACCTCGTCGCACGTCGGCTGCATCGCGAGAGGGGCCATCCGTTTTGATTGATTGATAGGAAGGCGAAACACAGTCAGACTCTAAGGACTGGGACACCGCCAGCGGACCCTTACAGATCATATGTGCAGTTAGTTGTGTTCACGGTGTGAGATCGTGTCGCTCCTGAGTAAGGTAAGGTAAGGTAAACTTCTCCACACACACGAGGTGGTGGGTGTTCCCGGGCATTCACACTATGTTCCTGAGATAATTGGGCGATTATATCCATAAGGGATTTCATCCCTTTGGATTGGAGATTCGTGTTTCCGTTCCTTTTTGGGTAAAACGTATACAGCTGACGCGATGCGGCCTCTGCCTAGCTTCCTGCTTCTAACTATGCGCGAGCTACGGCGGGACCGCTATCGAGTATGGCTTATCCTCCGGCCAGTATGGCCTCGACTATTGCATCGCCGAGGCCGACACCACCAGCGACATGACAGCGTCGACCACCATGGCAGCTTCAACGTGTGCGCTACCATGGACAAATCTTGCACTCTATATGTCAGCCGCCACCTGGGCGCGTGGCGTGTGCGAGCACAACCCCAATCGAGCCGAAAGATCTGAACAATGGGTCCAGTCGGTCAGGGTGACAGCAGCGCAGAAGCGCTCGCAGAGCGGCGCGCAGCGTCGCGCACGCCACGCCGCGGGCGGTCGGACGAGCGCAGCGTACGTCGGCGGCGAGCCGCGTCGCCAGCCGTCTCGCGAGAGAGCGGCGCCGCCGCGTGCGCGCAGCAGCCGCCGCGGCAGAGGCGAGCCGCGGCGACGGCCGCACAACTGATAACTGCCATTGGCGGTTCACACAACACACACACACACACTTACACACACTCGCCAACGAGGCGCACATGCCCTTTGCCGATGTTCGCACAGAAAGAAAGGAGAAGACACCCGGGTAGGGCGCAAGCTGATGAATGGCCTCGCAGGCGGCTCATGGGGCCGGTGACGGCGCCCTGCGCCGAAGATCCCAGGGCGGATCTTCTGGCCGGCACTTAAGAGATTCGCCTTGCGGAGGTAGGTAGGTAGAAAGGTGAAGAACAGCCAGGCTCGGACTGGACACCAACGCGGTATGGGTGGACGCGAGACAGATGATGACGACACGCACGAACGACACACAGACACAAACAAGCTCACAAGACACACAGCCAGCTGGCTGCCACACACCCTGAGTTGGCGTACACATAACTCAGGGCCACATTCTTCCTGTCGCCCCCCCCAGCACTCCAAGGTGCCAAGAGAAACAAACAAGGGCACAACAAACAACAGACGACAGGAAGCAACGTGCGAGGCTAGAGCAGGCTTGCTCGTCCTCTAGCAATCTCCGCCGACCGCGAGGCCGGACAAGACCGTGTGTGGGGTCATGTGAGGTGTCTCTGGTCACTCTCCTCAGTGGCTAGCCGCCAGCGGCCAGCCCTATCTCGCACTCACAGGCAATGACAATCCAATGTATGAGCGTTGCGGACCCTCAGAAGAAAAAGAAAAACGCCGCCCGCGCTGATTGATGATGAGTGTTGGCTTGCTGGCCCTCGCCGTCGTCCCGCCGACGCTCCGCGGCGCGCCGGCGCGCGCCTCCGTCCGCATGGCCAACAAGCAGCAGCAGCAGCCCACGCCCCGCGAGCGGCTGCTCGAGGAGCTCGCCGAGTACGAGGCGACCAACCAGCGGCGCTCCTTTCTCACCGGCCTGGCAGCCTCGGCCGCCACCTTTGGCGCGGGAGGCTTCTTCCTCAACACGATGAAGGCCAAGGGCGTGCAGGAGCCTCTCGCCGCTGGGCGCGGGCGGGTCGCCTCGCCGTCCTCTGCGGCCGGCGCAAAGCAGCAGGCGGCCACCCCGCTGGCCGCGGCGGGTGGAGCGGAGGTCGTCGCCAAGGAGCGGGATCCGGAGACGCTGGCCGCGCCGCCGATCGGGCGGAGCGGCAAGGCCGCCGACACGCCCACCCCCCACGCCGGCGGCAAGGACTTCAGGGCGCTCGCGGCGGGCGGCGCCGCCGCCCTCGCCGCCGCCGCCGCCTCCTTCGCGGGCTCTCAGCTTGCAGGGCTGGGCAGGGAGAAGGGGGAGGAGGAGGGGCGGAAGGGGGCCGAGTCGCTCTCCGCCGCGGTCGAGGCCCCCGGCACCCCGTCGCCAGCCCCGCTGCCCGCGGCGCCCGCGCCCGAGCACGTGCCGGCGCCGGCCTCCGCCGCAGCGGACAACGCCGCGGCGCGGGGCGGCGATTCGGAGGCGGAGGCGGCGGCGGCAAGTGGAGGGCTCAAGGCGGCCTTGCTTCGTGCGGAGGGCGCGGCGGCCGTGTCGGCGCGCAGCGCGCGACGCGAGGCCGACGTCGCTCTGGCTCGGGCGGCGGCGGCCCGACGCACTCTCAAAGCTTCGTCGCTCCGGCAAGACGGTGCGGCGGCGGTGGCGGCGCGGGAGGAGGCGCGGGCCGGCGCGGCGCGCGCGCTCAAGGCGTCCTCCCTCCGGCGGGAGGGAGCGGCGGCGGTGGCGGCGCGAGAGGAGGCGCGGGATGCGCTTCATGAGGTGGAGGCGAGCAGAGCGGCGGCGAAGGAGGCGCGGGCTGCGGCTGAGAAGAAGGCGGCGGAGGAGGCTCGGGCTGCGGCTGAGAAGAAGGCGGCGGAGGAGGCGCGGGCTGCGGCTGAGAAGAAGGCGGCGGAGGAGGCGCGGGCTGCGGCTGAGAAGAAGGCGGAGGAGGAGGCGCGGGCTGCGGCTGAGAAGAAGGCGGAGCAGGAGGCTCGGGCTGCGGCTGAGAAGAAGGCGGCGGAGGAGGCTCGGGCTGCGGCTGAGAAGAAGGCGGCGGAGGAGGCGCGGGCTGCGGCTGAGAAGAAGGCGGAGGAGGAGGCGCGGGCTGCGGCTGAGAAGAAGGCGGAGGAGGAGGCGCGGGCTGCGGCTGAGAAGAAGGCGGAGCAGGAGGCTCGGGCTGCGGCTGAGAAGAAGGCGGCGGAGGAGGCGCGGGCTGCGGCTGAGAAGAAGGCGGCGGAGGAGGCTCGGGCTGCGGCTGAGAAGAAGGCGGCGGAGGAGGCGCGGGCTGCGGCTGAGAAAGCGGCGGAGGTGGAGGCGCGGGCTGCGGCTGAGAAGAAGGCGGAGGAGGAGGCGCGGGCTGCGGCTGAGAAGAAGGCGGCGGAGGAGGCGCGGGCTGCGGCTGAGAAGAAGGCGGCGGAGGAGGCGCGGGCTGCGGCTGAGAAAGCGGCGGAGGAGGAGGCGCGGGCTGCGGCTGAGAAGAAGGCGGAGGAGGAGGCGCGGGCTGCGGCTGAGAAGAAGGCGGCGGAGGAGGCGCGGGCTGCGGCTGAGAAGAAGGCGGAGGAGGAGGCGCGGGCTGCGGCTGAGAAGAAGGCGGCGGAGGAGGCGCGGGCTGCGGCTGAGAAGAAGGCGGAGGAGGCGCGGGCTGCGGCTGAGAAGAAGGCGGCGGAGGAGGCTCGGGCTGCGGCTGAGAAGAAGGCGGCGTCTGGATGGTACAGCGCACATGCCGTGGCAGCGCGGTGGGGGGAGGCTCCGCCTTCGGCGGAGAAGGAGGCGGCGGAGAGGGCTCAGATTGCAGCAGAGGTGAGGGCGGCGGAGGAGGCTCGGGTTGCGGCCGAGAAGAAGGCGGCGGAGGAGAAGGCGTCTCAAATGGCGGCCGAGCAGGCTGCTTCCAGGGCGGCGGCCGAGGCGGCGGCGGCCGAGGCGGAGGCGGCGGAGGCGGCGGCGGCGGAGGCGGCGGAGGCTGCGGCGGCAGAGGCGGTCGCTGCCAAGGGTTCGTCGCT